ACTGTCTTGTTTTTAAAGTTATTAAACGTACTATTGCAGTCAGTTTTAATGTCGAATTTCTTTAACTCTTTATTAATTTTATAAATTTCACTTTTGAATACTAGATTAAATTCTGTAGAAGATTCTACTTCATTTTCTAACTCGTCCTCATCCTCAATCAGTATGGTTATCTCTTCATCCGATTGGATGACTTTATTGTATTTTTCGTTTAAAGTGTCTTTCAAGTCACTATAGTTACTAAACTGGTTTTCATTGTCAGTGTTGTTAATAATTTCTAAAGATTTTTCGAATAATTTGTTTAAAAGTTTTATGTTAACTGTTTTAACTCTACGTTTGCCTTGAATAGTTGACATTTTTTGAAAAATAAAACTTACAGATACTTATTTGCAAAACGTTAACTGTCCTAAATCCTTCCTGATTGGGTAAATAATTACTAACGTGACAAATATTAAGTATTTTTACTTAAATCTTAATGATTGTTAATATAATAACTTGATAAATGTTCGGTACAATGATAAGCTCAAATTGTTTTCCTTAATACTTAATACAATACTCCTTAAATAATGTAACCAAAAATGTACTCCTTATTACTTAATACAATGCTCCTAAGTATTATAATTTATAATAACAAGTAAATAGTAATTAAATGTAAATAAAACTTTTTTCTTGTTCTTTAATCTTTTAACCTGTTTAAATCTTTTGCATCTTTGTATTCAAATGTTAATATTTATTTTCCGTGGGCTCCAAATTGTGTGGTTCATTCACAAACCATACTGTTTTGATATGTATACTAATATATTCTCGTATAATAATGTACTATAATGTAAAACTTGCTCAAGAAGTTACAACGATCGCGTAGAAGCAGAGTAAGAGTTAGAGTGAGAGCGCGGGATTAACCGCTGATAATATAACACAAATAACAAGAAATCGTTGCAGCGCTAGTGAGCGCGACAGAGGGATTTCAGAAAAAAACAGGAAATTTCTTTTTGGAATGTTTTATTTAATTTTTATGAAATACTTAATTTTAATACTTAATTTTTGAGTATTTATAGAACTGAAAATACAAAAACTAAATGTAAAATCTTTTTAGTCATTTTACCAATTTATCGAAAATGCCCAAACAACACGTGTTCTCTTCTCGTACATAATATTGAAAAATGTGCGTGCGTCCAAACTTGCGAAAACGAAAGTCGCGACTGTTAAATAACATTAAGGTTATGCAGGTATATGTACCGCAAAAACAACCGTACCGCAAAAACAAAAATGTTGGCTTAAGTGACTTTGCATATACAAAAAGATTTAGGATTCAAAAAACTTGATATAATATGATAGCTAATATGTCAGCTTATATATTAAAGCAGTTTTAGTGGTTTTTTTATTTGTTAAATACTTTGGTATTTGCACTAGAGTAAAAATTTCAATTATAAAAATGCGTATTTTTTTTTGTTTTGTAAGAGCCTTGAAGCCGTATCAGAGAATAAGTTAGAAAAATAGAGTTTTTCTATTACCTATGGATTATAACTAGATACTGAAAAAGGTTTTTTTTCAAAAAATCTTAAAAAACAATATTTGAACACAGCAGTAATAACACAGACATCTAAAATTGCTGCAGACTTGAAAACATTATTATAACAATAGGTTATTACAACAATGTTATTACAACAATGATAAATAAAAGAGTACTTTAAACTGATTACTTTAATTCAAAAAAAATTATTGATTGTTGTTGCATTTGTTATAATGGTCTTATATTAGTGTTTTAGATGTGGAGAAGTGCTAGTTTGCTGGTAAATGCATAACCGGTTTAACAACATCAAATCTGTAACTCACTTTGCTGCAAGTTGAACGGAGAACATCAAGGCAATTGGGAAATTAGTTTAGGCCAAAAGCTCGACATTTCCTTTATTTTTAAAAATATTCAACTTTACATTTAATAAATTTTTTTTTAGCTTCCTTTTTTTTTTGGCTTCTTCTTCGCTGATATCTTTCGTCGTTTCTCTTTTTTTATATCTTTCACTTTTGCTACAACATTTTTTGCACGCATTGAACCATAGACCTAAGTAAATAGATATTTTTTCAAGGTTTGGTTTGATTATCTTAAAAGCATATTAGGGATATTTTCTAATTGGAGGCTTTGCTCAGCCAATTTTTTTATTGCCGAACCTTTCCTTTTACCAACTGGTGACGAAATGGTTGACTCAGGTTTTTTGAAAGAAGTTAACACTGGTTTTTCTTTATGAATGTATGAAGCAGCTCGCTCAAATTTATCTTGTTGAATAAAGTTAACATTTAATTCAAAAAATGTTATTCCAACTCTTTTTCCACTAGAAACAAGACCCGGTTTCGATGCTAATTTCCTCCATATATTGCTAAAGATGGTCATAAATCTCTCTCTATTAATTGATTGCATTGGGTTAAAAAGATAATTCATTACTATTCTGTACTCATGATGAAGATTTTTATTAACCTGGTCAAGCAACTGAGTTACACCAGTAGTGTCGGGAGGAGAAATAAAGAATCAAATTTGTTTTGAAGGGAGGTAAATTAAACCATCTTAACTGAATCGTGAATTATGTCCGTCAGGTAATGAAACAACAGATCGCTCTACTGCTTTCTCAGTAAGGAAATCATCAAATTCTTGGCACTGCTTTTTCTAATTGTAAATTTTTTGCATCTGTGAACTTTTCCCAATTGATAACTCAGGCTTATATTTTCCATGAATAGATTGTAATTTTTTCCAGTCTGAGCTGAATTTGGCTTCATTTTCAATGTTACTTTTTTTTACTATTTGATTAAAAAAATTATCGTTAAACATTTTAGAGTAAATTATTCGCTTTCAGAACATGTCTAAATATTAAAAAACTACTTTCAAGTAAAAATTTAGATTTTGCTCAGGTTCAAACAAATTAAGTTTTAATAAATTCTCGCAATTATTATGTTTTAAAAATGCTATTGATTTTTAAAACGTAAAAAACACGATGCAAACTTTGTTTAAAACACTGCAATGACATCTTTAGAATCAAGAGGTTACATTGAATCAATATAGCAAAAAGCTAGAACACATGTATAGCCTATAAAGTGTTATTTTAAAAACATTAATGTTATTTTTGGGGTACCTTTCTTGTGGTTTTTATGGTGCATCGGGTATTTTCTCCAAGATTAAGATAGCAGTAACTGGTTTTATTTAAAGCAGATCAAATAATTTTAGGACACGTTAAATATCAGCTTTATAGGTTCACTAGCTGCAGAGATACAATCGATTAGTTGAATGCGGTTTTTGGAGAACACATGCAAAATACAAAAAAAAGTTCAGTTAACAATAACAACGAAACTATTTCTTAAAAATTAATCAAATTAGCTGGGAAGAACTAATTTTGAGCCATTCTAAACAAATTCAAAACAGTTTTCCTCAAAAGCAAATAATAAAAAAGTTATTAAGATGTGCTTTTTTTATTGTTTTTGCGGTAAGTATACCTGTAATGTATTTTGGTTACCACTATCCAAGAGATAATTCTTTGAATTACAGTTTAAAAAGTAAAAGATCTGCTGCACTTTCAATAATGTTGTCCAAAAAAAACATTTTCTAGTATAAGAAGGAGAGAAATGATATTGAAGCCAAGATTTACAAATTCAACATTTGTCCAGTTGGATCATACATTTTTGTTTCTCACAAAGACAAACAAATTTCCTTACGTTAATCTTGTTTATCTAATACATTTTACTTTCCAATAGTTGTAAAAATGTCGTACAACAGTTGTACAACAATAATGCTTTATAATGGAGGGATTTTCTTGCGTAAGTTGCACAACTTAACGTTGGTTGTACAACAAAATTTATGTTGTAAAACAAAGGTTGCAGACAGGGCCGGCGCGAGTAGGTGTCACGTGGGGGGGTGCCATTACAACTTTTGCCGACTAAAAAAAAAAAAAAAAAAAAAAAAAAAAGAAAAAAAAAAAAAGTCCTCGTTTTCCAAAATTTGCCGACTGTCATGACGACATTTGCCGACTGTCTAACCTATATCGAAAGTGAGTCCACGATTGCCGACTAACTACGTCCAATTTGCCGACTAAAGGTCACATTTGCCGACTAAAGGCCCAGTTTGCCGACTGAAAATCATTGATGGGGGGTGTTACACCCCCCCACACCCCCCTATCGCGCCGGCCTTGGTTGCAGAGATAAAATTAAACCTATTTCGGCAACAATTGTTGTACAACAAAAACGCAACAGAAACGTTGGACAACATTTCTACAACTTTGGAAACCAAGCTTTAAAAAATGAATCAACTCAAAAAAATGACGTATTTTATTAACGCAGCAGTGTATACTTGAAACAACTAAAATGATTAGAAAATAAATGCGCATAAATGTTGGACAAAAAGCATTAGGTTCAGATTGGTGTCTTAATAAAAATCTATGACATCAGATTGGTGTCTTAATAAAAATCTATGACATCAACTTCCTATCAAATGCTTTTCCGCGGCGCTCTGTCATTAGACTGTACTGAACTGTCAATAAGTTATGCAACGCAAAATATATTTTCAAAACAGTAGTTGGAAATACAAGGCTCTTTACCGCGGCAATTTTTATTAAACTTGATGAGCTATTTTATGAGTCTTATTTCAAATTAAGACTCTGCAGAAAATAATTTTGATCTTTATTGTTTTGTTTATTGTGGAAGTTTGCTACCTAAATAAATTCAGTTATGCGTTTCAACCAATTGTTTCACTGGGTGTAGTCGGTTTTTTGATAAATATAGTCAACTATCTGTATATATACATATACATATACATACATATATATATATATATATATATATATATATATATATATATATATATATATATATATATATATATATATATATATATATATATATATATATGTGTGTGTGTATATATATATATATATATATATATATATATATATATTTATATAGAAATATATTTGAATATATTTCTCTATAAAGTTTATTTTTAAAGTTTTTATTTATTCTGTTTTTAGTCATTTGGAGCATCTGAAGAGAATGCAGGTAAAGTCCCCACGTAAACAAATGGTATTTAGATTTCTTTTAAATAGCATTTTTTCTCAACTTTAATAATATGATATATTATTGAGGTAAAAAAATTTACAATTTCTTACAGAATAATTTTATCCAGTCACTTCCAAATAATATTATTAGTGTAAGTCATACGTCTGCGTGTGGGGAAAGAAGTTTTAGCTTTGTTAACTGTTTCAGTTTCCGACATTTAATCCATTAAATGAGATTTATTATTTGAAATATTTAAAAAAGTTTTGGTTGCTCATCATCTCTTCTCTGAAAAATAAACTTTTTTAAGCTATCAAACAGATCCAGCTCGTCACTTCACGCATTTAACATAAAAGTAATGGAGCGTTTTTTGAATTCTGCTTTTTTTTCATATAAAGTAAAAGCGGGTCAAACCGATAACATTATTTTTTTAAAATTAATGGACGTCTCAAAAGTAAACAATTAATAAAAATTATTTAGTCGGAACTAACACATTAGAAAATCTAACTATTCAATTTTGATAGGTTCCTAGTACAAATACCACAGTCATAAGAATAACTAGTCTGGAAACACGGACCATTTTCATTGTTTTTTGTTTTTAACTTGAAAACGGCGCAACGACCCGGCAAACCTGCACAACTTTGTAAAAAATGTCAAGCTTTTAATGTTAATATTGATTTGGAATGTTTGTTTGATATGGCTAAAGGAGTTCCAATAACCTGTTTCTTTTGGCACCAACACAGCATTTAACTGATTGTTTACTTTCTGGAGAACTGCAACTTTGGAACTGCAATGCCTAAAAATGCGCCTCCTTCAGAAAAGAATGAGATTTGATCTTCAAATCTAATGCAATTTCAAAAGTGAAAAAAGTCAAGAAAGTATACTTCTATTGACAATTTTGATCAGATGCGAAGAATTCCAATGGAGCAGAATATCTTCGACAGATTTAAAACTCTGGCTTCTGATGTAAAATGTAGAAAAGAGCGAATTGCAATGATAGCAGATGAAGTAAAAGGCCTATGGAATAATTTAAATCTGCCTATTCAACAAGGTATCTCTATGGTTACACGAAAAGTTGAGAATGTAATAAAAACTTTTGAAAAGCATGCTCGAAGACCAGGAAACAATGATTTCAGTAAATTGTTTAATGTAAAAGACAAAAAAGGAGAATGCTTGTGAAGAGAAGACAGGGAGTTTTATGAACTGCAGATTTCAACAAAAAGGAAAGTAGGATATTGCACCACAAAAGAAGACACACAGGGAATACATCCAAGAAAAGTGAAGATGCTTAAAAGAAGAGTTTCAGTCATACAAGAGTCTTTTGAATAAAGTAATGAAGATTCGGAAACAGTTACAGAAACAGAAAAATCTATCGGTGAAGAACAAAGTTATAGTAGCAATGAAAATTATGCAAAACCTTCTTTCAGTAAAAAGCAAAGAACTGATTTTGCAGTACGTTTGGTAACTGCAACAACACTGAGTACAGGAAAGACCTACAAAGTATGTAAAACTTTATCCAAAAGCAGAGTTACCATACCTATTCCAACTCAGAGTGGCATTTACAAAGCAGTAATAAAAGAAGCAGAAAAGCTAAAAAGAAATTTCAGTTTTCTGTGTCAATCTCATTTTAAACCAAATGCTAAAACGTTTGATTTACTCAAACGCTTTGCGCAATATTACGGAAATTAGAACGTTTAATTTGCGGAGTTAATTATAAAATATTTCAAACTTTGGAAATTAATGTTTCATTTCCAACCATAGATTGCCGTTCAACTTCCTTAAAAATAAGAAATATGCTAACTACGTAAATGTTGTACAAAAATGCATTAGAGTGTATCTTTGCTGCAAGTTGTTTCTGAAAATTCATTTACTTGAATCGCTACGAGACTAAATAAAACTGTTTTCGCTAAATCAAATAAATCAATTAAAAAACAAGACTGTACAAATTTAAACTTAAAGATTTAATGACCATCATTATAATATCCGGATATTTATAATTATTAATTATTTAACCCAGCTGAAACTGCTAGTTTTGTAGTCACCAATTAGGGGACTACAAAACATGTAAAACATAGTAACTTTAAATGTCGGTGGCTTGAACATTTATTTTGCCATCAAGTTGGAATAGAAAGTGAATACTGTTAATTAAAAGGAAAGTGTAAGAATTCGGAAAAAATTAATGATCTCTTTCAAATGCTATGGATTGTTTTTAATAAAAAAAACTGCTGAAATAATAGTTGTCTAGGTGGTTTATTGAAGACATGTGATCATGCAGCTGCGACCCTCTTTTGAATAGAGGCTGCTGTTAGAAATGGTTTGACGTATGTAGCTTGTAATAGTTTAAAATCAGAGTGGCTTCCCATCCGTCGCATGGACGGATGGGAAGCCACTCTGGACCAACAAAAATATGCAACTTAAAATTTAATTGTGACGAGTTTGTTATGTGTGGAATAAAAAAACTATTATCAAATAAAAAGCGCAATTACAACCCATTAGTAAACTGTGGCTTAAAGCTTTTAAATTTAAAAGACAGCATAAGTAATTAAAACCGTTGCTTCTAATATATTAAGCCTTAAGATATATGGCTTTAAACAGATATTACAATTTATATTATCGTTTGATTATCATATATTAATAATTAGTAATATTACTAGTTTGATTTCGATACCGCATAACTTACTATATGGGGTACCATTGTGGTGAATTTGTGTTTAAATCAAATCCGCGTAAGTGTTCTAGCGATTAAATTATTAATTATAGCACCCAATAGCTATTATTGACTATAAAAAGAACAATAATAAAACTCTTTATGCCAAAATAAGCTCAAAATCTGTTTAGATAAAAAAAATATATAGTTTTAGCCTTCTCCTGTAAAACTATCTGCAATGCAGATACGCGCTCCCTACCTGTTGTAGATCCGCGGGTTTGCACTATCCCCGACAATATATATATATATATATATATATATATATATATATATATATATATATATATATATATATATATATATATATATATATATATATAAATATATATATATATATATATATATATATATATATATATATATATATATATATATGTATATATATATATATATATATATATATATATATATATATATATTTATATATATATATATATATGTATATGTGTGTATGATATAAGAATTTAGGTAATGAATCGTTCGGTAAAAATTGTTTTGAAATTTTCAATAAAGTAATAGCCAATTATACGGTAACTGACTTACTAACTTAAATTAACAATGATTCAATGATAAATCTAAATTTTTTCTACGAAATATTCCTTTTAATAAGAACGTTTAATGTCTTATTCATAAAAAAATTACATATTCTGTTCTAAGTAAAAAAAAATGGCTTGACAAGATAAATTAAAATAGCTGCAACATGCAATTTTATACATAGAGCAATAACAAAATAAAGTCATATTGCTTTTGTTTCTATGTATTATATATTGAATATGTATTTTATATATGTATTTAATATGTATTAATACATATTTAAATGAATGAGAAATTATAACTAATTTTACATTCTTTATAATAAAATATAATTGCTATTTACTATGCTATTATCTCAAAATAATTCAGTTAATTATATAGAAATAAAAAAAAAAGGAAATAAAGGTGCTAAAATAAATTACAATAATAAAAATAGTATAAGCAAAATTAAAAAATGATCATAAACATCCTTATTTTATAAATATATTCAGTAAATTTTCTCAGGAGTAAACCCGGCTTGCTGTACTGGTAATACTATTGCACAATATGATTTGTTATTTGGTGATTCAAATGCCAGGTTACACTTAGCAATTATAAATAAAGTGACCACAATCTGCAACATATTTTCATCACATGAAAAAGGGTAAAAATTACGCCCTTCTGATATATAACCTAGCAAACAAAACTAATAACGTTTTGTGATTCTATCGTTTTAATTTAAAAAAGAAACAATAAATAAGTTTTACTACAATTTTTTATTGTTTTTATCTATTATGAGTCTTAATTTTTTGTTCCTGGATATTTTGGATAATTTCAAATTTCAGGAGACATTTTAAAGAAACAGAAAGCCTATGAAAACCTATTCTAGGGCCGACGATACGGGTTTCGAAGTAAGGGGGAAATTCTCTTTATCTAAATAAAGTTCTCTTTATCCAGAATTTTCCTAAAAACAAAGGTTCTTTAATAAAAAGTGTGTGTGTGTGTGTGTGTGTGTGTGTGTGTGTGTGTGTGTGTGTATAGTGGGTGGGCACTTACCCCCTTGGCCCACTCCGATGGAGTCGGCCCTGATTCACATTTTTTATCATAATTTGTCAATAGTTTATTAACCTATTCTTCTTTTTTGCATAGGAAGAGATGCAGGTTGGATAGCTGCTTCATTATTCGTTGCCAGAGTTTGTTTTGGGTAATATCAATTTTCATTGTTATTTTTTTTATTACATTGTTTTCATCTTTATACCATTTTCTAGGATTTGTATTATATTAATGATGTAAGTTAAACAATAAGCTTTGAAATTTGATTTAAAAATTCAATTTAAAATTTTCTACAAGGACATGTATTTAGTTAAAATACCACGTTCCATATAAAATTTTTCATTTTCCGTAAACTTAGCATCCCAGGATTCCCCGGTGTGTAACTTGTTTATCCCGGGATCTCCTGGCATAATTTTTAATATAATAACGAGCGCTTTTTGGCACAAATTTATCTTAGCACGCTTATCTATATTGCTGTTTAAAATAAAATATTGTTTTGATAAAAATAAATAATCAAGTAATTTGTCACTTAATCGAGAACAAACTTTTCCCATAAATAGACCCGCGGCCGATAAAAGACTCTTTCTGATTCAATTAATATCGGCTTGATGGTCATTTATGTTAAGTATATTCTTTATAAACCTTTGCTACGCTTTCCAAAGGCCTCAAAAAGTTTGATTTCTTTTGCGAGATTTTTAAATTGCTAATGTTTTCTAGAGCTTCTTTTTCCACTTGTTTGACATTACAAATAGTCGCATCTAATTTTTGTTCAAGTGTCAAAATATTTTCAAAATATGTCAAAGTAAAATATGCCTAATTATTTTGGAGCAACAAGTTGAGGTATTGACGGGTCAGAAACCATGCTTTCATTATCACGACTCACTTCAACTATTTTATTATTTAATGAACTAGTGCTAGCATCATTTTTTTTTGCTGTTGCTTTTAATGCATATTTGGACGGTAAGAGTACTTTGGAGTTAATATTTGATTCCTGATTATAACTAATTGGCTTGTTTAAAAATTTTATTCGTCCAATTAAATTGGCATTTCTGCGTTCTTTAATTCTCTGCTTCACAGATTGAAGCATTTTATAAGCAATAAAATTTTTTTCCCCGCCTAATCGTCTATGATGAATAACATTACACCTTCTGCGTCAAGAAAACCAGTATTACTTCTATCAATTCTTTATATCCCAACTTTTATCGGTTGCAAAGATATTGTTACGTCGTTCATAACTGTATATTCATCTTTGGAGATATTCAGAACTTCTTTTAAATTGATCATTGCTTTTATTGTACATGTTTTTACTTTAAAGAATCTTTCTAGCATTGCAACAAGACTATTCCACCTTGTTTTGACATATAATATCAGCTTAATTTCTTTATGAAACATATATCTTACGTACATTTGTAAAACTTCAATTTTAAGAGGTAATTTGAGGAACATTTGAACTACTTTTAAAACCCTCTGAATTGTTAAAGCTATATTTACGCTATTTTGTAAATCATCAATAAACGTAACGCCTGTTGACCTGTATGACTCATTATTACAGACAAATACATCATCAAACTTATCGTTATCACTCAAATTTTGATCCTAATCCTGAAACGGATGCTCCGTCAGCGACAATAGCTTTATATAGCTATAAAGAGCAAATCCTTTTTAATTGATAAACTGAAACCTGACAGCTTGTTTTCAACTAGATCAGCAATTTTTTCTGCAGGAAGTGATCCAGTTATCGGAGTCCAAAATTATTCCCAGGTTCCAAAACGTTGTATATAAGTGTAAATTTAAAATATAAATAACGTCGATTTTTTAAAGACGAATATTCGTCTAAAGATAAAGAAAATCACGACCCGCTAGATATTTCTTTTGTTATCTCTAAAACCACAGTTTGTTTAGCTAAATCATATTGTTTTTTTATCATACACACACACGTTTGCTCAATTTTAATTTCCGATCCAGTATCTTTCTGTTAACGCTTCATCTTTATATTCAAATCTATTTGTGCGTATTTTAAATGACGTATGAGCCCACTTGTCAAAAATCCTTTACACATTATCTTTACATAGCACTTTTTGGAAATTGCAAATTCGCCAGATTTTTCTTGACGAAAATATTGTCATGGTTTCAATCCACTTACAATTGACATGGTTTTACTAAATTGATTCGCAAAACAACTAAAAGTAAAGTTACAAATATTTCTCACATATGTATGTTATTTTACGTATGACTTTAAATTTCTTTGTTTACCGTTTTTTAAATACAAAAATTATTAAATATTTAAATAATTCAATAGCATAAAAAGTTTAAGTTTCAATTATTTAGAAGTTTAAATATTAAACTGTTTTTGTCGCAAGAAATCTTTTTTATTTTTTACAAATGTTTTTTAATAACGGGAAAAAAAACAACAATGCATTTAATTAGATTGTTTAAATAGTTTCAATAAGATTTCTTGTAGTACTCGGTTTTTAAATAAGGTATGAACACTTAAAACACAACTAAATGCAATAAAATTTCTCTTATTTTTGGTTGAATTAGTTCAAACAGTTATCACTTAAAAAAAATTAAAAAAAAAATTATGTTCCGGGAAATAAGAGCGATATCCCAGGACATTCCACTGCCACTTGGATCCCGAATATTGTTTGAGAAACCCTAATTCTATAGGATTGAGTTTTAATATTTACCGTCTGGTTATTTTTCAAAATTTACCAATAAACTTAACAGTAAATTTATCGTAATATTTATCAGTAAATTATACCATTGCACTATTTTAGAGTGCTTAATGCAGTTTTATTTTTAAACTCCTTTAGATTTATTTCAGTAGGTGATTTCATTACTTTAATTATGCAAATTTATTCCGATTTTATTCATTAATCAATAACAGCCTTATATTCTAGCCAGAAAATACCATAGGATTTCGATAGAAAAAGTAAAGTTTATCTTTATTTCTTTGTGTTACGATAAAGTGCAAAAAAAATTTTCCGGAATTAGAATTTATTACCTTTTAAATTTTTATTATATGTTTCAAGATTTATTACATAATTTAAAACGTGATACACAAAAAAGAACACAATTGAATATTAGATAAAAAGATAAGTTTAATTAAAATATTCATTACCATTTTCTCAAAACATTTCTCCTCCATTTAAAAGGTATTATTTGTCTGTTAAATATGAATACTCAATAATGTGTTTTAACTGCCTGCTATCTGTTATCTAGTTCCTTTTATAATACGGAACAATGCAAAATTTTAAGATAAAAATCAATACTAATGAATTCAATACAATTTATGTCAATGAATGAACAAATACAGGGTTTCAGTAAAATTTAGAACCGCTTACATTTTTTTTCAATACTCGACAGAAAAACTTGAATAGAAATTAAACGGATTAAGATTTTTCAATTATTTTCCCTAAATCGAATAAATAAATTAATTGTTTATCAGATAAAATTTTAATTGAAATAAAAAAATTGCTAATTGGATTTAAATTAAGACTAAGTAATTACAGGTAATTTTCTAAGCTGATATAAATTATCTATTAAGTTTAGCACATGACTTTAAAATCACATATCATAAAAAATTGTTAATTTTTGAATTTGAAATTTTGTGTATATGTTTACTACTATATAAAGAATATGTTACAAAAAAATTTCTAAAAAATTCAAATAAGAAATAAAGTTAGATAGTTGGTACTTCCAGACATTTTTGGTAAAAAAATGGGTGAAAAAGCAATAGATGATGCAACTAGATAGCAGATTGTCGCATTAAAACAAAATACAGATAATCTGACACACAAATAGCAAAAGAGTTAGGTGTTTCACGAAAATGCGTCTCAACATCAATAAAAAACTACAAACTGAGAAAGAGTGTCAAAGATATGCCACGTTCTGGAAGACCAGAAAAGCTTAGTACCCGAGACAAAAACTTCTTCATACGTAAGGTTAATGCCAAACCTAAAATTACTCTCCGAGAATTAGCCGAGGATTTCAATAGCACGTTCAGAAATCATAGAGTTAGATATGAAACGGTAAGAAAGGTTTTAGAGGAAAAAGGAATCATTTCGTACATTGCTGCTAGGAAGCCACTTTTGACAGTACGAGACCGTTTGAGACAACTGAAATGGTGCCAGGAACATGCCAGTTGGTCAGTAGAAGTTTGGGCGAAATGTATTTTCAGTGATGAATCCAATTTCGAGGTCATAAATCGCAAAGTACGAGTTTATGTCAAAAGAAATAAATGGCAGAAGTATGACATGCGCATGATATCACCATGAATACAAGGCAGAGGAGGGTCGGCAGGAGTCTGGGGTTGCATCTCTGATAAAGGTATTAGTCTCTGCAATACGTACACCGGTCGGATTAATCAATAAAACGACAAAAGAACTCTGGAGCAGCGTTTAGTTCCATCAGCCCGTGAAGTTTTTGGAAGACGCAAATGGATTTTTTAGCAAGATGGGGCTCCTGGCCGCATAGCCAAGTCGATAAAAGCCTGTTTTTCAGAGAAGAAGATCCAAGTGATGCCCTGGCCCGCCCAATCGGCTGATTTGAATCCGATTGAGAATCTTTGGGCTTGGATGGACCGCCAATTAATGCTAACCAAGCTGACGTCGGTTGAGCACTTAAAGCAAGCATGAGAAGAGACATGGAAGAGTATAACAAAAGAATTCTGCATGAAATTGATTGAGTGTTTGTCTAGGAGAGTTCTTACATGTATAAAAGCCCGCGGTGGTCACTTTAATTATTGAAATTTTAATTTTTTCGAAATGTGCTACATTTAACTGTTTTTTTTTGCTATCCTTTTTTTTTATGTCTACTTGTTTTCTTTCATTTTTTTAAATATTTTTTGTATTTTATTGCAATTTTTTTTACTTAAATTATAAATCATAGCTTATTTAATAAAATAAAATAAAAAAAAAACTTAATCTGTTTAATTTCTATTCAAGTTTTTCTGTCGAGTATTGAAAAAAAATGTAAGCGGTTCTAAATTTTACTGAAACACTGTATGTTAATAAATGTCTGAAATATTTTCAATACCTTTCAGGCACAATGTTTGAGGTTTAAAAAAAAACTATTGAAATCAGATATTCAAACTCCCTCAAACTATTGAAATCAGATATTCAAAATATTCCCTATCAAAATATTTGAGTT